ATCTTCAGTCAGAAGTATTTTCTTATAAGCAACTTATAAGTTCTAGTGTCTGTAAAATGACTTACTAGAGAAGAGTCATGATATCTTTTGATAAGTTCTATATATAGAAACTCATTTATAGGCACATAAATCTGACTCTCTCTTTATAAGAGATTATTTAAGTCTCTTCAATTCTTTATTTCTGCAGAGTTGATCCCTGTCATGAGCAGTTTCTGAATATATTAAGTATATTCATTCTTCAGTTGCAGTTCAGGCAATCTGAATAGAAGATTTTATAAAGACTTATACTCTGTTTTTTCTTGCATCAGATCTTTCACAGCACTTCTCAAAGTCTGTAAATTCTTCAGATTATAGATACTCTCTTCAAGAATTCTCATAAAGATTCTCAGAGTATTAACTCTCAGTGTTGTAGAGAGTAGTTGTACAGACTTCTTCTCTCTCTTTTCTCTCTTCTCTCACAGGGAATTGAGAGACTCTTCAGTTAATCTCTTTATAATACTCAGTCTGAGCATCTTACAAAGCTTTTCTATCTTCTCTAGTTTCTCTGTGTCTGTCACTCTGATCTTCTTAACATAGTCTGATCTGTAAGAGAGTTCATTCACTGAGTTCTTAGTTCTCTTGATATATTCTATCTTGAATCAGAACTCACTCAGTCTCTGAGCTCAGTAAATCTGCTACTGCAAGAGTTTCTTAATTGAAGTAAACTGTTACAAACTGTTATGATCAGTTCTAACAGTAATCACTGTTATAAGACTCTCAAAGTAGTGACATCAGTGATAGAAGAATTTCACTATCATGAGAAGCTTCTGATCATGAATGTTATAGTTAATCTCTGTGAATTATATCTTTTATAAGAAAAAGGTCACTGAAACTCAGTTCTCATTTAACTGTAGTTATAAGACTATTTCTGAAATTATAAAGAAGAAGATATCTGTCTTCAATCTGATTAAGAGTAAGAGATTAAAGTGAAACAGTATCACTGTATCTATAAATGTCTGTTTCAATCTTATAAAGACTCTGTAAGCTTCTGAAATAAGAAAGTTCTTACAGTTCTCTCTTCTTAACAATCTTTTCATTCTTCATTTATGAAATGACTTCTTCTTATTTTCACTCTTCAGCATGTCTGTAAGAGTCAAGAAGATTCTTATAAATACAAAGATAAACTGTCTATAGAAATTCACAAAGTTCAGAAAGATCTGAATCTCATGAATACTAGTTAGCTTCAGTCATGATAGAATAGTCTCAATCTGCAAAGATTTCATCTGAATATCATTCACAGTGATTACATATTCTAGGAAATTAATTCAGTGAGTACTGAAGTTACACTTTACAAGCTTAATATACAGTTCTGTCTCATCTAAGATCTTCAACACACTTCACATATACTCAGTGTGTTCTTTCTTCTTCACAGAGTACACTATCACATTATTCAGATATATTATCACAAAGACATTCAGATATACATGAAGTGTTTTATTGATAAAAGACTGAAATACTGTGAGAGTATTAGTCAGATTAAAAGATATTACTAGATATTCAAACAGTCTCAGTGCAGTTCTAAAGACAGTCTTTTATTCATCTTCAGACTGTATTCACAGCTGTGTATATACATTGATCACATTTAGTTGTATGAATATGACAGCTTCTGTAAGACAGTTAATCACATTCTCAATCAGAGACAGAAAGTAGCAGCTCTTTATTATCTTAAAGTTCAGGTCACAGTAGTCTACATATAATCTGAGATCTTTATTCTTCTTCTTCATGAATATCACAGAGACTTCTGTGAAGATCTGTGAAGATTGAATAAAGTTATTCTTCAGATTCTTCTTTACATAGATCTGTAAGATCTCTGTCTCATAGTGAAAGAGCTTATAGATTGATTCTCAGAAGAGTTTCTGCTCTTCTATCAAATCTATTATCAGATTCTTCTCATAGTGAGAAGAAAGCTCAGCTGTCTTAGCTGAACTGAACATCTCTGCAAGATCTCAGTATTTCTCTAGTATCTGAAGCTCAGTTTTCATGACTGTGAGATTCTTAGACACTTGTAAAGTCATTATATAGATGAACTTATCTTCTCTAATTAACTCTACAGTATTAACTACTTCTATCTCTGTGAGTGAGTCTGTCAACACTGATTAGAAGTATAAACCTGACTCACAGACAGCTATGTGCAGATTGTGTCTTTGAAGTCATGTAAGTCTTAAATACATGTTATTTATAATGTTTATAATAATCACAGTTTCTGTAAATCTTCTTCAGATTTCAGAGAGATCTTACAATTCAAAGATAACTCTTATAAGTCTCTCAGTTCTTAGATCTGAGTTCTCATGCTCTACTTGTTATAAGAGCAGATTCTCAGTCTTTATCTTTCAGCTTATTTATTTTACAAGCTTTAGAGACATCACAGTGATCTGAGATTCTGAGTTTATTAATACTTTTCATACTTATGAGATAGCAGTATCACAGTGCAGTCTCTTCTCATAAGCAAGCATTTTCATTAAGAGAGTAACAGATTCAGATGTCAGCTTCAAGACTTTTAAGAAGGCTGTTGCTGACTCTGTTCATAACTTCTTAAATTTCTATTTTAATTTGTCTGAACAGTTTGTGTGAAGATGTTCTAATTTAGAACAGATAAAGTAGAGTCTCTTTTTCTTAATCTTTCTGTTATACACTCTGTTTACAGAAGCTTATAAAGCTCTCTCTCTCTGCTCAGTAGTCAGACACAAATCTCTCTATATCTTATCATCTTTTTCTAGTAAATCTGTTCTCTGTTATTCTGACTCTTATAGAGCCAGTCAATGATCTGCTCTTTACAGGTCTGTGACTCTCACAGTGATCTGTAAGTGATAAATAAGAGTCATTAGTTTCTTCAGAGTCAAGAACTTAGAGTCTTACTCAATGAGCTTATTCTGCATATCTTTATTCAGTCTCTTTATAAATATCATCATTCAGGTCTTGTTTCAGAGCCCTGTTTTCACAGATCTCAATTCATATCATAATTCTATGAAGCACTGTGAGTAGTCTTCATCAGATTTCTCATCTCTTTTTCTAATATTAATGATTATAGCTCAGATATTCTCTGTTCAGCTTGCAGAGTTCTCTAACTTATTCTCTAAATAGATCTTAAGAATAGATCATTGAAATCTCTTATAATCATTCTCTAGATAGTTCAGTCAGTTCTTGACTTCAGTGTAATAGAGATCTGTCATTATATAGATAACAGCTTCTTCATCTTCTATATCACACAGTCAGGCTTGTGAGTCAATTTCAAATACAAACTTGCAAAAGCTTTTATAGATTGTAGTTCAATAGATAATCTTAAGTGATCATAGCTTGAGAAAGTTTCTTTTCAGTTTGTAAGTATCTCTGAAGATCATGTTTAGAAACTTAGTTCAAGAATGTTTACAGACAGTAAGCATTTCTTATAGAAAAATAGCTTGATTTTACAGAAGATACTCAAGAATGTTCTTCACTGAGATTGATTCATTCATGAGTTCAGAGAGTTTCTCTGTCACAGATACAGAGAATAATATCTTATAAGTGATTAATAAGTTCTCTGAGACTTCTTTTATAAGAGTTATTTATAGTTTAGATGACTGCTTCTGAGTGTCTGCAGTAGAGTTTGCAGAGATTAGAGTATATAAGTTTCTAGTTCTTTCAGTTATAACAGATGATTGCTGACTGACTGAGCTTGAAATGTAAGAATAAGTACTCACAGATGATTATTCAGATGTTTGCAGCTTAGCATGATATGTACTGTTAACTACTAGAAGTGTTCATGATAGAAAGATAAATGTAGAGATTAAATATATAATAGCATTCAAGCTGAGTTATGAATAGTATTCATGAACTTCAGTCTATATAGTTGTGTGTAGCCAAGGGCCACTAGCTCTATTGATTATGTGAGAGATAGAAATAGAGGTAAAGAATCCGCAAGAAGCGGGATTTCTTACATTTATAAATCTCTTTAAGCTTGAATTACTTCATTCATTTCTCAATAATCTGTGAGAATTCTATGATATCAATTGAAATAAGTTCTCAGTTTTGAAACTAGATCACTGTTCAATTCTTTTCTATAATAAGTTAATATTCTCAGTTCAGTATATCTCTTCAACTAATCAATCAATCAGTTATTGACTTATTAATATATAAACCAGGAAGTGTATTCACTGAATCTCTCTTATAAAGAGAGATATTCTTTAATATTAAGAGACTGATCTTGACTGAATTACAACTATCTTTATTCATGAAATGAGAGAGATTAAGTAGATTTTCTTTACACTTACTTCTCTACATCATGTCAGACAGAATCATCTACTGAATCTACTGATTTTATAAGAGAATTCTGACAGTTACACTATTATCAGGCTTTCAGCAGTTTAAAAGACAGTATTGCATGACATTTCAATACTGAATACTGATGAAAATGATGATTGTTTAATGTATGAATCTCAGACAATAAGATATTTATATTACACTTGAAATATCTCATTTCTTTAGATAGTAATTTGATTTGTATGAAGTAGTTAACTAGTCTAGCTGAATAGTATACAAGTATTGATTTCACTGACAGAACAGTATATTGTGGCTTGCAGTATCTCAGTAGTATCTTGATGATGGCATCCGCTGATTATATGGTGACTGAGCTGTCCCCTGATAGTGTCAAGAAGTCCTGTGCTGTTTCAATGCCATCTTGACATTTAATATTCGGCGACGTGTTGCCGAATATAATGGTGGAACATGTGTTACAATCGGCGACACGTGACACGGGTGGAATGGTGGATCCACGGTGTAATCACCGTAAATTAACCCTACGTTCTTCCCATAAGGAAGGCTAAGTAGTCACATGATCAATCATGATTACATAAGGGAATGGGGGCATGACATGACGCTGTCACCCCTGGCTTGACAAAGTGGCTAATAACGACACTGCAGTTGCTGCTCTTGCGCTCAAATACAACTTCAACTCCGCCCAACGATGCCTCCACTGCATTTGCCACATGCTCAACCTCGTTGGTCAAGCGCTTATGTCTGCCAATGATCAAACTACCTACGAGAACGCTCACGAACACTGCACTGAAGAGGAGTTATACGTGCACGTTGGCGCAAAAATAGCCCCATTGGGGTCCTTTTTTGACGATATCAACTACGTCAAAACGCTGCAACAATACGAGCTCTTTCAAGACTGTCAGCGCGCTACAAACGCTTATCCATCCGTTGATAAACCACCTAAAACACTCGAGCCGGTTAAGCCAGTTGTTATTTGATGGAACTCAGTGTACCCAGCTCTTGAGTGCGCCACACGCTTACAAAGTGCGTTTAATTGCTACACTAAGCACCATATAAACAGAGTTACAATTGAGGACTCAAACTCGATAAGGAGTAACAACAAGCTACCTGACGCGCCAAGTTGGATGAGATCTGATGGCCTTACTGCTGCTGACTGGGCCGTGATTACTGAGTATCAAGAGACCCAAAGCCACTCAAAGGAGCTACTCAACGCCTTGAAGGCCGCGGCAAAGACGGCAAAGACGGCGCTATATACAAGATTATACCAGTGCACAAGCACGTCCTTAACTGCCTCGAGGAGCGACTCCAATTGTACGGAGATGTTGACTTTAACGCTCATTGTGAGGCGCTCGTCGCGCGGAGTTGCACCTACAGGCAGCTCAATTGATGACGCAATTAGTGCTTACTTGCGCGGCGGAGGCAATGCAGACGCTCGAATTGATAAGTTTGAGGACTGGAAATTTCATGAACCTGAGTTGACAGCAGCCCAGTACAAGGCACATGGCAGCCCAGTACAAGGCACATGGCAGCCCAGTCTTGTATTGGATACAACTGCGGCTAAAATACCCTGATTTAGCGCAGCTTGCTATTGACATTATGACTATCCCAGCATCAAGTGGCGATTGTGAGTGACTCTTCAGCAAGCTGGGCGACCTACTTAAGCCCAAACTTCACTGCTAGTGTGGGTACGAGCTGGCTTCAAAACACCATATACTAATGACGAGATGGACGTAACTGACGAGGAGGTGATGTGGGACCAAAACATGTGTGAGTGGGATACTTCAACACTGTAATTTGTATGGCAGTCGATCTCTTTGGCATCAATCAAGCAATCACTTGTCAATCAATAAATCCAAAACTCACTTTCAATTCAATCAATCAATCCAATCAGATTGGCTTCAACAACCAATCAATTCAATTCAAGAGCTCAATATTGATTTGATTGATTGTTTACAACTGTGGCTCCCGGTATTCTCTTTGCCTTTTCTTTTGAAAGAAGAAAGTTCTTTTGCTTATTTGGGATGTAGTAAGTGGTCCCCAAGTGCAGTCACGCTGTAGAGAATATTTACTCGAGGCCACACGGATCATGATCAACTTTCAAGCACAATGTACTCAATGGGAAAGGAAGTAGTGAGTGACAGTTTGCATATGTTTCCTATATGTATAGAGCTGGCCGGCCGACATGACAGCTCCCTCATCTGTCACGCGTTTTCCATCCAAAACGAGTGTCCATTCCTGATTTCCAATTCCCCGCAGATCCATCAATGCCTGCATTCGACTGTCGTGCAACATCCAACTATTCAACTTCGCCAGATCCACGCGACACACGCTGCCCCCGAATCGATACCTCAGACATCTGAGAGATAGTGAGTGGTGTTTGTGTGCACAGATGTAGAAGCACTTACGCGAAACACAGTACGGCTCAAGATTAATCCCGTAGCGATTCTTCGTTTTCTGCTCATGGCAGCCTTCCTTCGTCTGATGGATGGCTTGTCAGTGAAGTCCATAGCCTGTGAATTCATTCTCTTACGGCTGTCGCAGTAGGTGCTGTTTTGCGCGCAAGTTCTGCCGCATTCCCCTTCAACTGGATCGTAGTACTCGCAACCGGAATTGGGCATGGTGCTGGCAGGTGTTCGAAGGGTTTGTAGTAGTCTCTTGGGGTACAAGATTGATAGGTGACTGGACTGGATGGAGAGATTGTGTTGAAGACGGAACGAAAGAGCTGTACTGCTGCACACCTCATATATATACCCTGTGTGCTGGATTGGAAAAGTGATGGTACAGGCGTCAGTCTGCCTTTGGCGCCGCCCAGCTACGCCGCGGATGTGAGACCGAGCACGAAACCTCGTCGTTGGGTGGCGTGGGAGGCGTGTCCTTCCAGAGGCCCTATCCATACCCCACGGGTGAGGGGCGATCTGCGAAGGGGCTCGGAGCGAGCCCCTCCCGCTGCGCCGCGATAACCTAGTGTCTTCGAGCTTACCAGCGGCCGAAAGGTGATATCCAATGAAGACCGTGTTTACCGTGCATCCACAACACATCCACTATCACTAACTTAGATAGGCTACGGATGTATTGAAGTGGTTCACGCTTGCGAGCAGATTCCCAGCGCAGGGTTCAGGTACCCATGAATTCGAAAGGGAGCACGGAGGATCAATTCCGCAAAATTTTCAGGAAAACGCGCGCCTCAAGCATCCAAAGAGGCTGGAAATCAGCCGATTCGTCCTGCGTCATTTAGGCCTTCATTACTCCAAGTCACGTATAATAGTATTGATAATCCTGCTCAGGTACGGAGAACGGGATGCGCTCACAGAGGATGAGATCATGTAGGCTGCACCTAGCGCTTGGCTGACGCACACGTCTGTCGCCAAAAATATAGTAATTCGGATACGCTGAATGTCGTCGGAATGAAATTATCGTCATGTGTAGTTACCCCAAAGGCGCCTCGCCACGCCATCCTCGGCTCTCCTGGTCATTGCCTCCACCAATCGATACCTCCCCACCCGTATCGAGTTATCGGCCGGCGAGTGGGTGACCATCAGCGAATCCTGGCTGTCCCATCTGCTTTTCCTTTCACCCACGCTTGCGCTCGCGCGCTCACTGATCCTTGTCACGCCCGGCGCTGGTGGCCCGCGCTCGTTCAAGGGACTGGCTGCGAGAGCGACGCCGAGATGGATGGTTGCTGCGCCCAGGGCCTTTCTCTTCCTTTCTCATTTCCCATTTCCCATTCTCCTGGGCCCCTTGCAGAGTAGTGGGACACAAACTACGCGGACGGCGGCGGCACAGCTGGATCGCTGGATTCAGGATTGTTTCTGCTTGTTTTCTTCGTCTGCACCCATGGTGTGAACGCTTGCCATTCTTGGTTCTGGGTCCGGACGGTCGATTGTTTGCCTGGCACACACCCTCGCCTCGATCATTACGCTGGCGTCTCGTCAGTTGGCTGCGGCGTACTCATCCTACGGCGGATGGTCTGACGGACGCACTACGGTTTCTGAGTTGGCCAACCGTCCGAGGTATGGCTGAGCCTCGACTGGGATGGGCTGTTTCCACCCCCTCCTGAACCCAAAAAACAATCCTTGAGGTGAAAGACCAACTTGAAATCTTATTGATTCTTGGAATTTTAGGGTTTAGCAAGCACCATAGCTTTGAGCGTGTTTGAATTTATAAGTGGATAGATTGTTGTTGGCCGTTACGGCTGTGGCGATCTCCCTAGATCACGTGATCAAGCACTATTTAAGCTCTTTGTAGATAGCTCTTAGTACAAGATTGATGATTTACAGAGAAGAATGATGATGATAATGATGAAAATATTCAATTCTACTATATTACAGTCTGCCTGTAGAATCACTGTTTTCTAATGCAGACTAGCTCTGCAATAATTAGCACATCAAGGCTTGTGTACTACAAAAACATTTTTATATATATAATAAGAAAATGAGATTAATAAAGTGAATAGAAAACCTCAGCTAGTTACAGTTCTGAGTAGACTAGATATTTCAGTAGCAGGTCTCAGTCTGTGCATGATTTTAGAGTAACTTAATAATAGAGTGAGATGAAATTGCATTGAGAAAGAAGAGAAAGTGAATATAATTATCATATTGAGAATAATTTCAGCTGCAGCACAGCTGGTCCAGGTGACACTAGCAGTGACAAGGAGAAGAAGAAATGTTCACAGCACACATGAGACAAGAAAATTATGAGAAAAGAAAGAGAAAATAGAGACAATGAAGAGAGAATGTTTGAGCAGTGAGAGAAGGAGATTTATATAGTTCAGAAAGCAGCAATGTTGCACTAAACCCGATCAGAATAGCACTAAAGGTACAGAAGGTCCATTTACAGAAATTTGATAAGAAGAACAAGTGATCATTTAAGCAATATTGAATTGGCATTGCTTCAGTCATGAACACACTAAGTAGCGAGTTGAGCTTGATTTATCTCCGCGGCTATTTCAGAGCATTCTTCATTTCTGTTTCACTGATATCACGCACAGCTCAATGAGTATAAACCACAACCAACGCTAGGTGTCAATTGTCAACGAACTACGTGCTGAAATGTCTATCTTTCCTTGGTTGCTGTATCACAACGTGCCACACCCCTCACTCGAGTCTCTTTCCATTTCCCGTTTTGACACAGTCGCGAATAATATGATGTTGGGAACCAAAGCAACTATCAGACCATACTGGTTCGCGGTTGAAGTGAAATTTCAGAAAACCCACAACCAGACGAGGCGGTTGGGGAAATTTCGTATTCTTTTGCGGACTGAAGATTAAAAAGGTCCTGAAACACGGCTTGGACTACGGAACCGGGGCCAGACGAACCAAGGGCCGAACACAGGTTGACAAGAAACGAGAAACAGGAACAGGGACGGGAACGGGAACGGGTCAGGATCAGGAAATCAGTTTCGATCTGATTGATCTGATCTCACGGGGGAATTGGCTGACGCTTTTACAGTTCTTATTATAGGACAAGGTAAAGTAAGGCATGAGCACAAATCTGACAATGACAGTGTTTTAAAGATGGAATATAGTTACCATCCCCACCATTATGAGTTGAACCAGCTTCTCTTCAACAAAGGGACGAAATCCCTCTCTCTCACCTTGCTCTCCTCTGCAAGAATATACGGACTACTCCGTCCATGGGATCTTAGGCCTGATCGACAGCGTGTAGCAAACCTCCCGAGTCACTTTCTCTCTGGCCACTGGTGCTTCCTCCTTGTTAGATTTTCGATTTTCTATAGCCTAGCCAATTGACAGCCCCAGAAATAACGTTAAGCCGAGAGGACTCAGGACAAACGGATGGCGGGGCGCTCCCTCCATCGTCGTCCATGTCTCAGCCTAACTTCCGCCGTGCTGATTGAACAAAGTTGGACTACTTTTTTTTGTTGTTCCAAGCTCGAGTGTGGATGCGACATTCTGGGCGAGATAATTGCCCAGAAAGACGATGGGCCATTGGCCCCCATGGCATGGATCCGATCCCCCAGTCAGTTTAAAAAAAAACTAGAGACAAGGAAAGACAGGGAATTGGGAATCAGCACTTATTGTTTAGGAAAAAAAATATATAAATAAATATCTCGGATTCTTTTCAACCATTCAGAGACGTATTAATAAACAATCCATTGCTAGTCAACTAGCACCATTATTAATAGTAAGTAGTATTATTTAAGTTAATACAACGCTCTGTTGCTTCTTTGTGAAACAAAAGCCAAGGGAGGATTCGCTGTTGTCTACGCTGGGTAATACAACTGGACCGACCGGACTGGTTATGATTCTTCTTCGTCTTCTCCCGCTGTGTCCGCCTCTGGTTTCCACAATATGAACGCTGCGAGCGAAGAGGGAACTTAAACACAAACTTCTCCATAGAGTTAGCTATCCAATAACTGACTACTCCGTACTCTGTACCCAGCGACGGATTACCTAGGTATAGTACGGAGTATAATACATGTACAGGTACTTTCTCTCAGCTGGAAAACGGCTTCTGGCGCTGGGGGATAATACTGGTGGTGTCTGTCACCGTACCAACCGGCTTCCTCACGACTCTGGAGTTATGATAGATAGATAATATACCCGTGTTGCATGCATGTGCGACTGTCCTGGTCTATTTTCTTCCTGTGATTCCATCTCTTTCTGCTACTTCTCCTCGTCCAAGTTCCAGTTCCTCCGCCATCGTTTGTCGCCCTTCTGCTCACGAGACCAACCTTTCTGCCAACTTGGAACTCCAACCAACTCCAACTCTAACGTCGCTCCAACTTTCCCACCCTTCAGTTCATCTACCTTTTCCCTTTTCCTCTCTCTCTCTACCTTGGTGCCTCCTGCTCGTCTGGCTCCGGATTCGATGAATACGCCTCCGTTCGCTCGCTGATTGCATCCGCGCATCCGTTTTATTGTTCACTGGTTTCTCTGTATGGGCTTCGCCGCCTCCGCCTTATTTCGCAATTACCGTCGCCGCCGCATTCATCATGGAGTACAACGCCCTCTCCCAGTCCGACGACAATGATGAAGTGGCCTCCAATGCCTCCGCTTCAGATAGATCAGAGTCTTCTCCCCAGCCAAACCGCCGCCGCGCCTTTCAGAAGCTCACTCTCAACATGGACAATCTGGGGGGCCCAAAGTATATGAATGCGGCCAGAATAGGCGATCAGCCCAGTCCATCGCTAGGCTCGGTTATGAGATCGTTAGGGCCCGCCTCAACCAGTAGCTATGACCTTCTAGAAGATGATGACTACGACACCCCCTCAGCAAACCACGGAGAGCCAGGATATAGCTTTGTCAGAGCAAATCATAAGAACGAGATTAATGATTCACAGCCTTCTTCCTCCTCTCACAACCATCAGGGTTACTCGAGCAACAATCATAACAACATAGGCGCCTCCACCAGCAACCACCTCCGAAACGCCACCCCGGCCACTCCCGCACAGCCCTCCGAACCCCTAATTCGATCCCCCGTTTCTTCACGTCCTGTTCCGCTTTGCCACCCGACTCCTGACCTTCAGTCGCTACAGGGCGCTTACGTGGGGAATGTTGAGCGGCTGGAAAAATCTGCAGAGACCCTGAGCACCTCTTCGGATATCGGGGAAGAATTACGCAAATTGAAGCAAGAACAGAAGCGGCTCTCAGTTGCAAGCTGTAGCGCTGTTGATCACCATCCTTTCGGCCGGGGCTCCCCTGTTCGCAAATTTTCCACCTCGTCGCTATCGAACTCGATCATTGGCGTCAATACCACGGCAAGGTCGAACGGATACCCCCCAGGAGATTGCGTCGCGTCACCAAAGAGCTCAGTCATGTCTGCTTCTCGCTCGCAAGTTGGTGCTGCCGCGTCCCGCGCTCGATCCGCCTCAGTTGCTTCACGACTAGCTCAGGTCCTCGAACCCGAGAACGAGGACCAAACGACCCAATCCCACCAACCCCCCGCAGATGCCGCTCCATACCTGCAGCCTTTAGAGATTCCTGAACATGATTTCATGGATAATCAACGTCAAGACGACAACCCCCACCACCACGAACAACAACAACCACCCCGTGACCCTGACCAGCCTCAACCTACGTACGATGAAACCGTCCCCGAAGAACGTTCCACGACGGCAAGTTCAACAGATACCTACAGGCAATCTAAAGCTCTATTCAAAGACTTCGATGGAGTTCATTTCACGCCGTTCCCAAGAGAACGAGTCTCAGGCCGCCGTGCTTCGTTATCAAAACCCCCTCTAGCTAGAGAATCACCATCATTCAGCAATCCACCACCAGGCCAAAAGTTGGTATTCTACCCTGCCCCTGTTCCAATGATGCTGAACCTTCCCCCACGACGATCGAAAAGAGCGCCTGAGCCACAGCACGAAAAACGCCGTACGCAGCTTATCAATTCCCTCCCAGTGGATGCGAGGAAGTCAGCGGCGTGGTTACCACAGCTAGACCCGGAGTATGATGGCAAAGATTCTACAGAGACACGGAATAACAAGAGAGTATCTGAAATACCGCCACAGCTACGCGCATCTGCTTATTTTGAGCCGCCCCCAGCCCAGATAGACATTGAAATCAAGCAGAATTCGGCCGTTGCTACCCTTGATAGCATTCTTGATGCGTCCGCACAGGCGCCCGTTAGTGCGTTTACAGATCACCCCATCGTAGGTCATGTTGGCGCTGAGGTGTACGGAAAGCCCAAGGCGAAGAGAAAGCTGCAGCCTCTAGCGGGTAAGCAGGGCAAGCATGCTCTCCGCAAATCTGTAGGCGCTCGGGATAGCGTAATGCCGTCCCGAACTGGCATCCGTCCCGCTGAGCAGGAAGGAGGTAACGAGACCGAAGGACATGCTGCTGAGGGCAGCGATGAGGTGACTCCGTTCCACGAATCGTATGAAGGTGATCAAGGTCCCTCGGGCACGAATCTTCACAATGATATGGAGCGACGGGATAACGATGAACGGAATGAGAGCCGACTTAAGAAAGACGAAAATTCTAGAGGGGACGATAGCGAGGACGGCGAAGAGGAAGAGGATGAAGAAGATGAGGAGGAGGAAACTTACGTTGGAGCCCCAACAACCCTCCTTGCCGAACTCCAGATACGCAAACAAGAACAAAAACAACGAAACCGCACCGCAGCCACCGCCTTCCCCAACGGCATGCACTCAACTTTGCTTGAACTCGACGCGGTCGCCCAACACCAACGCGAAACGCGAAACCAAAAGCACATCACCCTCGCGTGGGAGGATCCAGGTATTGCAGAACGGAATGAACCGGACAACGAAAATGTGCCCCTCGCCGTCCTGTTTCCTAAAAACCTTCAGAGCGATGAAAACAGACCAATGGGCCTGATGGAGAAGCTAGAGCTGGAAGAAAACGAACCACTCAGCCGTCGTCGGGCGCGGATCCGTGGCGGACCTATTGTTGGCGGAGCCCCGATGCAACGAGCAAGCCCTGTTTTCTTACCCGATGATCACATCAATGGCAACGGCCACACGAACAACAACAACGAAGAAGAAAATGATGACGAGGAGGAAGGGGAGACGCTTGCTCAACGCGCCCGACGGTTGAAAGCCGAGGAAGCTAATATACGGCTATCGAGAGATTTCACGAGTGAGCTTCTGACCAAATTTGGCGCCACGTCGATTGATGAGCCACGCTCGTCAACTGAACAGCAGGCTAAGGATTCCCAGCAGCAGTCGCCGTCTACCGTCCCGGACTCCGTGGAACCGCCGGTGGAAGAGACGCTTGGTCAACGGCGGAGGCGTTTGCAGGCTGAGAAGGCGCAGGCGCAGGCGGCGGCGGTGGGGGAGGATGAAGTGAAAAATAACTTCACGGCTACGCCCATCGGCAAGCCGCGACATAACATGGCGACTGTCCTGCAGGCGCACCCGGCGCGCAATGGCGGGAATAATCCCTATCTCAACAATGGAGCTGCAGCGGGGAATACAATGCGGCACTCGCACCAACCTCTCCTCTCCGCGCAGCAGCAGCAGCAGATACCCAATCGCATGTCAATGATGCAACAGCAAGGATACGGTGGCAATAGTGCCAAATACGTCATGAACCTATCCTCACATGCGCATGCGCATGCAGGGCATGGGTCAATGGGATATGGGCCCGGCATGGGCACGGGTATGAGTGTGGGAAATGGCGCGCAGTACCCACCCACGATGGGTATGAATAGCAGCACAGGTTTAGTGTATGGGAATGGACATGGACATGGACATGGACATGGATATGGATATGGATATGGATACCCGGACGCCGTTGCTGGTGGTGGTGCTCCTGCTGCTGGTGGACAGCCTCATGGACCCATTATTGACCCCGGCCAGCGCGATCTTATCGACCGGTGGAGGCAGAGTGTGCGGTATTAGATGGGGAATAGAGAAGGTAGAAGATATACGTTGTATTCTTTTTTTTCCCCCTTCCCTTACTTTGGTCCGTACTTTGTTTCTTTTGTCGTCGTTGGTTCGGATTTTCTTTTAATTTTTTGTTCCTTCGGTTTTTCTGAAGGAGGCATAGCGAGTTGTTTTTCTTCTCCATATCTCTCTATTCCTTTTAATTATCTTTTGCTTTTCTTCTGATCATATAACCGGACGCAAGCCATCTATCACCTATAATTCTTCATCACTTGACGGAGCGGGGGCGTGCGAGTTACATACCAATTTTTTCCCTGGTATTTCTTCTCCAGAGGAAAGGAAACTGGCGAGATCCCCCGCGGTCTCACGGATGGGCATCTTTTTACTCTGCGGTTTTCTATTTTGATGTCTTTTGTTTTTTTTTTATATATATATATATATATATATATATGTATATATGTATCTCGTCGCATTTTTTCATCCGCATTTCCAGCGTTCTCAGAAGCTTCTATTTGCGAGCATGTACTGTACAATACAATTAAAATATACCTAGTAGACATCATCATGATGCACTTTGCTATCGCTTTTATTTTTAATTTTTTTTTTTTTTTCCCCTCCGAGTTGGGGACTTCGTTGATTTCTTAACGAGGAGGCCTTCGCAGGTCAATCATGTGTCTAGTCTTGTAGAGAGACATCTAGCATGTTGGAAAATAAAATATAAATGAATAGTAAATTAATGATATAAAAATAAAATGCTGATATAAAAATAAAATGCCGTCATCAGCCTGGACCTTTTTTTAGAGTTAAATCCCCCAAATATGTGTCGGAGACTTTTCCTGCTAGCTAGCCGATTTCCAAAATAAATAAACATCAAAGATTAGGAGCAATGGCAAAAATCATCTTCAACCACAACTCCTCCTCCTCCTGCTCCACCAACGTCGGCCAACGTCGGCCAACTTCGACCGCAAGCTCTTCAACTCTGCCTGCCCTCGACTATTCGTACCCTGCTCTCCAACAATTGCATCGATCTAGCCCGGCTGCTAGAGTTACATGACACTGGCACCATACCATACCGTCATAGCCCCCACGGTGCAAGTCTCTCCCCTCGCCATCATCACTGCGATGCTATTCCCCTAAATATAACCACGACCAACCGTCTCACCTCATACTAACCAAACAAAAAGAGGAGACACCGCCTGCCAGCTTCAAACCGCCTAGCCAGACCCCATCATGACCCTCCAATCTTGATTTCCTGTCACGATTCTAGGGGGACAAAGCGGCCCAGGAGTCTTCCCATTTCCCAAACCAAACCCTCAAGGGAATGAAGGGGGGTGTGCTCGTTCACTAAATGTACCTGTGCCTGTGCCTGCACTGCACCTCCGTCTACCCTCGCCATGCCCCCGTCTACAGTCTTCTCGTACCTGCGGCGCGAGCACCGTCGGCCCAGCCCGCCCACAACCTCGCCATCCCCCGCGGCACACCCTTCAGCTGCTCTGTCCGCTAGCAGTAGCCATCTCGCGCCGCAACTTCCGCTGCCCGAGTCGTCGTCTTATTCCCCTAGGCTCTCAAGTACAAATGGCGAGTCGGGTTCGTGGTTTGAACCGCAGCAGCAACAGCAACAGAAGCAACAACCGTCAGATTACAATAGCAACAATCTTAAGCATAATAGTTACGGTGGGAAAGCGGAACATGGGCCTGATATAAAGAGGAAACAGGATAGTAGCAGCGGTTATAGCAGTGGTCGTGAAAATATTAATTTATTATCAGCTTCGCCGCGCATTAATATACCCCCCCCCGTGGCGCGCCCGCATTCGGCTGGAAATGATTGTTCGAAGAAGACATCACTAGTGCCTCCTAATTCTCAATCTCAACAACAGGCAACAATGCTGCGGCCGGACCAGCACGATTCTGCAGTTGTCCACAATAGCAAACCTATCTCGCCTTGGAGGCTTACATTTGGCAAGAATACACTCTCGGACAACTCGAAGGGGAACAGCGCTGGCGGTGGCAGTGGCAGTGCTGGGGGTTATTCGCCAGGAAGCCATAATATCACCAGTGCACGGATGAAACCGTCTCCGCCTGGCTACTCCTGCGTGGAACCCAGCAGCGGCACCCGCACCACCACTACTTTTATTCCCGGGCGTGAACTGGCCAAGCATGAAAGCAGCAGCAGCAGCAGCAACCTCACCAACAATAATTACTCTCGACGCGATGCGGGCAGCCACGATGTCAACCACGAACCGGCCCCATCTCGAACCGGGAAAACGAGATTGAATCTCCTTAACCCCATGGCTCTTCTAGCACGCCGCCGATCTGGACAGACACTTACCCCGCGCCTGGACGATATAGGCACAAGGAGGCTGGGACTACCTGCGTTGCCAGATGACTATGATCCCAGGATTCGAGGGAACCTGTTTCACGACTTCTCCGCGCCGCGGCCGAGACCGAACGTGCCTATGATGAAACAGCAGGCAGTGAATAGTCAAGCGGTGAATGTACAGGATGCTCAAGGTAATAGCAATAAGGATAATTATAATTATAATAATGCTACTCCGTCTCCTGCCGCTTCGTCGACGGAGAATTCGGAAAATCAGAAGCAGGGCTCCCGGGTGAATAGTGGTGATGGAAACCACCTTGAGGCTTTGTCGAGTGGGAGAACTCTATCCTCTACCCGGCCTCATTCTGCTGTAGAACTCTATGATACGCCGTTGCCTTTACGACAAGCAAGCTCAAAAAAGCAGCAGGGCCAGAGGGCCTCGACCTCTTCCGATATCAGGTCACCTAGTACAAGATCCAAAGCCTCAATAGTCCACGATGACTCGTTTCAACCTTCAGGTTTACCCCGACATCTCACGAGCAATGCGTCACGATTTAGTTTCGATATGGCGAGCGGAGACTCGACATCCCAGGAGCGGATTATGGAGGAAAAGCACAAGCAGAAAGAAGCTGCTAAGAGGGCTAAAGCCCAACTTGATCGGTCAAATGATTCCGACGACGAAGATTTCGACTACGATGCCATGATGGATGATGATGGGTTGGAGGAGAGGATCCCCGGCGTGAATGCCGATGATGATTTTGGTAACGATGGTTTTGATGGATTTACGGGCACGGGACATGCGTTTAGACCTCACGGGAACCAACTGTTTGTACCCGTATTACCTCCGGTGATGTCTAATCCTATGAGTCCGCTAGATTTGGACTCCTCTGCGCCCCGCTCGCCGGAGAAAGACATTCCAACCCCGCTAGTGATAAGTCCTAACTCTGCAGTTGCTGGTCCTTCCCTCGGAGCTGGTGGTATGCCTTCATCTAACAGTCCACTACCCAGCAACAATATGGCTTTCTTTCAGAATGGAGCAGGTGTTGCGACGATGTCCGCCGAATCCTCGCTCCGACAACAACAACAGCAACAACAGCCGCCGCAGCCGCTTCTTAACCAGGGAGTGGAAGAGAAGTCTACCTTTTACGTTGAAAGCGATGAAGATGATTTGTATTTTGACGATGGCATGATCGATGATGTCTTGGGGGAAATCGAGGGCGAAAAGTTCGACGAGTCTGTTTTCGACGATGAAACTAGTCATCTTTACGAAAGGAAGCCGAAGTTCATTACGCAGCTGCCGACTGTGCCTGGCGGTATCGGGGATGCAGCGGATAACAACCAGCATGCGGAAGGGCATGGTATCAATAATGGTGCTAATGAGGATAGAATGGTGCCCCTGGTCGCCCAAAACAGCCTACTGCAACGCAATATATCTAATGAGAACGGAGGTATATGTGGAATACCAGGGGGTATAAAGCGGCGGACAATCCAACCAACCACCATCCGAGGACTGACTGAGGGCAATCTGGAGAAATACCACAGCGCCCTCGCCAAAGCAGCCAACGAAGCCGCTCTGAACGGCCGATTCGAACGAAGTGGCAGCGTCAGCGAAACATCAAGTGGTGCAGGCAGCGCCCCACTTTCCCCAGACTCCCACCCAGGCCTGACGGCAGATGACAGCCGGGTCAGCCAAAACGTCGACTCGATGGCCTTTGAAGAAGTCTTTGACGACTTTGACTACAACGACGACGACCTCGACGACGACCCGATAATCGCTGCCGCCAACGCTGAAGCCCTCGAGAACGACGACGAGGGTTTCTACGGGCAGGAATTCGGCTTCTACCCACAGTCCCTGGGCAACAACTGCGATGACCAGATGGTGCTGGGCGGCTACTTTGGCACGCGCGGCGTCGAGGGCATCACGAGGAGCCATAGCGGCCGTGCCAATTTCCAGGAACCCAGCCTCACGCCCATTACTGAACGGAGTGAGTGGAGCACGCGCAACTCCATCATTTCGTTGACGGCGCATGCCGCCGCTAGTGCGAATGCGTCGTTAACAAACCCTCCTCCGCCTCTGGCACATCTTGGCGATTTGGGCAGCATTGATGACCAGATGAACGCGCTCATGAAGCTGAGGCGTGGGGCGTGGGGCGGGAGTAATGGGAGCTTGCAGAGCAGTGCGGCCAGCCACACTGGTAGCTCTCCTGTCGCGACTAGTATGGCCGCGGCGGCATCGAGTCGGGGCAGCTTTGCTAGTTTACACGACGTTTTGGCTGAGCAGGGACGGTGCGGCAGTAGCGGTAATAATCTTACTAATGTTAATAATAATAATACTAATCATAATTCGATGTCGGCTGGGTCGCCGGTGGGCATGGAGAGCAGCAGTTATAGCGGCGACAGCAGCAATGTCTCTCAGCAGCACTGTCCTCATTCGCACCCCCATCGCAATCTCCATCAACAGCAAAACCACCAGCCACTGGATAATGATTTCTCGCCCCTGATAACCTCTACCAACTACAATTACATACCCACGCCGTCTGACAAGGACAAACCCCTCCCTCCACCACCCAAACCCTCCGAACTACATCATCATCATCATCATCATGGCCACTCCCATTCCCATCCGCACCCGCCACTAGAAATAGACATTGACAACGGCCCCGTTACCAATGTCAACGCCAATGCCAACGCCACCACTCCACCTTACTCCAAGGACGAAAACAACAGCAGCACCACCAGCAACAGCATCAGCAAGAGCAAATCCCAGCACAGCCGCGCCAACAGCACAACTGAGAGCATCAGCTACGTCAAGGAGGCCAATGAGGCGGGCGGCGATCGGTGGGTGCTTGAGAGGCGGCGTACGGGTGAGAGCGGGGAGCGCGAGGTTGTAGAGAGGGAGGTTATGGCCGGTGGGTTGATATGAGCAACGAGAAAAGAGAGAGGGAGGAAGGAGGAAGGTGGAAGGGGAGGAAGAACAAGGGAAAGGTTCGTTTGACAAATTTCTGAGGAGAGATTATTTATCCCATTTTTCCCTATTTTTTGGATATATTTGGGATTTGTTTTATACATATATATACCACAGCTATATACCAGAGCTCTAGTGACGACGTGCGTTTGTTGGATATAGCAGATTTTGCGTTGTCTTTGTGTTGGAGATAGTTCACTTCCCCCCTTTATTTTGTTTTCTTATCTTATGTTGACTTGACCTGGCAGGCGTTTTCATTTTTGATGTCGCCGTCATGGTTTTCTTTTTCTTTTCTCTTTTCTCTTTGGTACATTCTCCCCTTTTTGTTTCATATTACATTTTTACACCCCATTTTTTTCAACATACCTCTTCTTCTTGTTTTCTTATGATTTAATGATACCCACGCATCTCCTTGAGCTTGAGCTAGCGAGATGAAACACAGGAGGGAGGTGGAGCAGAGGAAGAGGAAGAGACGTCATGGGACGAGGAGTTGGGATACTTTCGTAACCAATAACTATCTATGCCCCATTCTTGTTGTTTTCTTGAACTGTTTCTACATTTAATCCCCTAACTTAACCTTCCCCCTTCCCCCAGCTAATTATGCAGAATAATATAAATAATAATGCTCAATCCGAGATCGATTCCCCCACAAAATTCATCCCCACACTCTCCCTCCCAGCTAGGTAAAGTCCAGTAGTACATTCTCCGTACGAAACCCAGAATCAGCCATGGCCCTCGCGGGTGTAAAACACCGGGCCGCGTCGTGAGGTAGAGAGTCCGTCCGAGCAACGGCTTTTTTATTTTATTTTATTTTATATTTTGTATTTTATATTTTATATTTATATTTTATATTTATTTCATATATTTATTTTGTTGCTTCAACCAGGTTTTACAAATAGCCATTGGTTAAGGAAAAAAAAAAAAAAAACCATGCGTTATTTTTAGATCTGAGGAGGGAGGTCTGAGTGGTCATGTGCAGACTCAGATATCCTTTTTCTTTGGGAGTGATTGTGCTGTTGCACTGTATGTACAGCATACAGATAATACTGTGTAAATGTGTGTTGGAGTTGTTTATATGAGGCATTATTTGGCATTGATGATACATCTTGCAGTGGAAATAACTCAACCCTTTTGACGTTACAGAGGTTGCTAACTACTACACTACCTTACTGCGTAGGTACAGCCAAGAAGAGCCTGGTCTGGCCACACGTTCTTCACTGTGCCATTTCATGCCATCCCATCCCACTCTTGTTTCATTTTTTATTCTTCCCACTTCTGTCTGTATATTATTATTATTATGTCTGTATTATTATTCTTCTTCACCGCAACTACAGAGTACTCCCCACTGCAATTGGATTTGATATTATGTACTCCGTACATCAATTATAATTGAGAGAGAATGTCTGAAGAATACTCGTATCTTGGCTGTACTCAGGACGCTGTAATCATGTTGCACCGCCACGGCATGCCAAGGACTTGCCTGGTTGGTTTGGTTGGTTCGGTTGAGAATGAGAAAAATTGGATATTGATGCCAATTGCCAATTGACGATTGACGGAATGGGGGGTTTTTCTTTCTTTCTTTTCTGATTCATGAGGGTTTGATGTAAGGAATAATACTCTGTAATAATAAACAATAATAATAAATGAGGCACAGCTGTGTAACAGTAGTAGTATTATTATTTTTTATGATTCCAGGACAGATATTTTCTTTCTCCCCCCTCCAGAGTACAGTACTAAGTATAATAATAACCCCGATATAAAACTAAAAAGTTGGGGGGAAAGATCTTCTTGGCAGTGAAGAGCAGTGGAAAGAGTGACTTATTATAATTGTATGGAATGTATTCTGTACTGCAAATTTCCTCCTCTTGTTGCCGAGTTGCAGTTGGATTGATGCAAGATCTGCACGCAGTAGTATGATGTAAGGAGTAAAAAGATAATATGGGGGATGAATTGCGATCAAACTCGTTGTGTATTGTATTCTTTTACTATTATTAACAACTAACTATTCTCTCCTGCTCTCGACTTGTGTTTTCTGCGATTGTTTCAGCTGAATTCCACTGCAATAATAATGATGATGATGATGATGATGATGAACTCTCTCAATGTGCTGCTGTCCTCGGGAAAGCGGCCGCGCTAGTCCCTACTAGGCCTAGTACGTGTGGAAATAATAGGAAATCCCAAACACCCTCTAACCCCACTCTGCCCGATCCTGCCCGCTGATTGGCTGTCTGCGGGGGTCTTGGCTGCGAGTCCCCTGGCACCCGGCGCAATACGCTGCGTACGGTCACAAAACAGGATACCACCGAAGACACGCAGCCAATGCCCGCCAGCGCCAGCCAATCGCAGGCGTACGTCTGTCACAGCCCGTCACCGACTCCCAGCGCCCAGGCAGCTGACTCAGCCCGGGCGTGTGCCCAGCCTCCCGCCACAGCCGGGGGTCAGTCGGCTGCAATTGCGGCTCCCTGCGCGGCTGCATCGTCTTCTCCTTCTATTTTCTTCTTCTTCTTCTTCTTCTTCTGCTTCTTTATTTGAACCTCAATTCCTCTCGCCTCCGCTTGGAACTAACAAGACATCTATCTTTCTTCTCGTCCCTTCGAACCGAAGAACAGTCCGAAACCATCTATCCGCCTGCCCTACACTATCCTACACTATCATACCCTAGAGCTTGTAGATACATACAAGCGCTCTTTGTCCTTAATTTTTCTTTTCCTTCTTTTTTTTTTTTTTTTTTTTTTCCTTTTCTTTTTTCCCCCCTTCCACCCACCCTCCCCGAAACCACCACCAGGAGAAGAATCTTTCTTCTTCTCTGATGAAACGGGAGCCTCGCTAGGCGGAACGACAGTGCTAGTCGGTAGTTCCCGCCTTATCCTACCTTTCGATCTCCACTCGTTGGGTTACTTACTGGCTCCGCGCAACAATTGCTTCGCGCCGCCCCCCACGCCTCAGTTATATAGTTCGCAAGTGACTGACGCCTTATTGTATCTTCTCCTTCGCTGAAGAGGATAATAGTAAGGTTTGCTACCAGTTTGGGACGCGGAAAAAAGAGAAGAAAAACACATAGACAATATAGAGAGTTGTGACGCATTTACGAAACGAGCGGGAAAAAACTGGAAAATAGGAGATAAAAGCACGGAAATTTTTCTTGTCGAAAAATAAGGATATCTTTATTGGATTTTTTTTGTCCTCTCTCCTTGTTGAGTAAATCTACCTTTTTTGCCTTTTACCACCCTCTTTTTTTCCCCCTGCGGAACATGGGTCTTTCGTCGTCTCTCCCCTTTAAAAATCCATAATTCTTACTCATAGAACAATCTTGTTGTCCGCTTTGATTTTCAAGGTTTTCAATTCTTTTCCCTGAAGACTCTGTGACAAACTTCCCCAATTTCACGACTCGACTTTTTTTTACGTGATTAAGAAATACATTTCACAACCATGTTGCGAACTGCTACGGTGAAGGCGTCCTCGAGCGCTGCGTTCCTCCGCCGCTCGCCCTGCGCGTGCAACACCCGATCATTTTCCGTCGTTTCGTCGAAACCCGCCAATGTCGTGTCGCGGAGTAGCTCCAGGCTGCATCTGGCCTCGCGGAGACCCTTGGCTGTCGTTGGTCGCCAGCAGGTATGGAATCAGAAGAGATATAAGGCCATTGCTGCCGAGGAGTCTAGTAAAGGAGTGGTATGTCTCCATTCTCACTTTAGCAGCTCTTTTCTTTTCTTTTCTTTCCTATTTTTGAAACTGACAGTATCTTGGACTTTGTAGGATCCTAACGATTCCTTCCTTCAAGGGAGCACCGCGAATTACATTGATGAGATGTACATGGCTTGGAGAAAGGACCCCACAAGCGTTCATGTCTCATGGCAAACATACTTCCGCAATATGGAGGATGGCAATATGCCCATCTCGCAAGCCTTCCAACCTCCGCCAACCCTCGTCCCAATCCCAACCGGCGGTGTCCCTCAACATATGCCCGACGCTGGGACCGCCAGTGCTGCTGGGACCGAAGTATCGAACCACTTGAAAGTCCAGCTTTTGGTGCGCGCATACCAGGCCCGCGGACACCACAAAGCAAAAATTGACCCCCTGGGAATTCGTGGCGAAGCCGAGACTTTCGGATACAACAAGCCCAAGGAGCTGGAGTTGGATCATTACGGATTCACTGAGAACGATCTGGACCAAGAATTCGCCCTTGGACCTGGTATTCTGCCACGTTTCGAGACCGCGACGAGGAAAAAGATGACCCTGCGGGAGATCATTGCTGCGTGTGAGAAGATCTACTGCGGTTCGTACGGTATTGAGTACATCCACATCCCGGACCGAGTACCTTGCGATTGGATCCGTGATCGCGTTGAGATCCCGACGCCTTACAAATACTCCGTCGATGAGAAACGTCGCATCCTTGATCGCCTGATTTGGAGTTCTAGTTTCGAGGCTTTCCTTGCCACCAAGTTCCCCAACGATAAGCGCTTCGGCCTCGAAGGTTGCGAAACCCTGGTTCCGGGAATGAAAGCTCTGATTGACCGCAGCGTTGAATATGGTATTAAGGATATCGTCATTGGTATGCCACATCGTGGTCGTCTCAATGTGCTTAGTAACGTTGTGCGAAAGCCCAATGAATCCATTTTCAGCGAATTTGGCGGTACCATGGAGCCATCTGATGAAGGATCTGGAGATGTCAAGTACCATCTTGGCATGAATTTTGAACGGCCTACGCCCTCCGGCAAGCGCGTTCAGCTTTCCCTCGTTGCTAACCCGTCGCATCTGGAAGCTGAGGACCCTGTTGTTCTCGGAAAGACTCGCGCCATCCAGCATTACAACAACGACGAAAAGGAATTCAACACTGCCATGGGTGTGCTCCTTCACGGCGATGCTGCATTTGCTGCCCAGGGCGTCGTTTACGAAACTATGGGATTCCACTCGCTTCCCGCATACTCCACCGGGGGAACGATCCATATCATCGTGAACAACCAAATCGGCTTCACCACTGACCCCCGCTTTGCTCGTTCCACACCATACTGTTCTGATATCGCCAAGGCAATCGACGCGCCTGTCTTCCACGTCAACGGAGATGATGTTGAAGCGCTCAACTACGTCTGCCAGATGGCAGCTGACTGGCGCGCGACCTTCAAGCGCGACGTAGTCATCGACATCGTCTGCTACCGGAAACAGGGCCACAACGAAACGGATCAGCCTTCCTTCACCCAGCCCCTGATGTACAAGCGCATCGCAGAGCAGACCAACCAACTCGACAAGTACGTCGACAAGTTGATCCGGGAGAAGACTTTCAGCAAGGAGGACATCGAGGAGCACAAGAAGTGGGTCTGGGGGATGTTGAACGATAGCTTCGATCGCAGCAAGGACTACCAGCCCTCCAGCAAAGAGTGGTTGACGTCCGCATGGAACGGATTCAAAACCCCGAAGGAACTGGCTACGGAGGTTCTCCCGCACCCGCCCACTGGCGTCCCCACAGAAACGCTGAAGAAAATTGGCGAGGTTCTTGGCAACATCCCTGAAAACTTCACCGTGCACCGTAACCTGAAACGTATCTTGGCGAACCGGAAAAAGACCATCGAAGAAGGTGAGAATATCGATTGGTCGACCGCTGAGGCGCTTGCGTTTGGTTCTCTCTGTGCTGAGGGCCACCATGTGCGTGTCTCTGGACAGGATGTGGAGCGTGGTACCTTCTCGCAGCGCCATGCGGTTCTGCACGACCAAGAGAATGAGGCGACCTACACAGCGCTACAGCATATCAGCCCCGATCAAGGGAAGTTTGTCATCTCGAATTCTTCCCTTAGCGAGTTTGGCGTGTAAGTTTTCATCCCGACCTTTTTTTTTTCCCCGTTTGTACGTACTGACATGTTTGACAGCTTGGGCTTCGAATACGGATATTCCCTCACCTCCCCCGATGCATTCGTTATGTGGGAGGCTCAATTCGGCGATTTCGCCAACAACGCTCAATGTATCATCGACCAGTTCGTCGCGTCCGGTGAATCCAAGTGGCTTCAGCGGTCTGGGCTTGTCATGTCTCTGCCACATGGTTATGACGGCCAGGGTCCCGAGCACTCCTCCGCTAGAATAGAACGTTATCTCCAACTGTGTAACGAAGATCCAAGAGTGTTCCCCACCGGTGACAGAATCGACCGCCAACACCAGGACTGCAACATGCAGATTGCTTACATGACCACGCCATCCAACTTGTTCCACGTCATGCGCAGACAGATGAACAGACAATTCAGAAAACGTAAGATTTAAGCTTCTCTCTCTTTTTTTTTGTTGTTTTTTTTTTCCGTGTAGAAAGAACATATCCAGGAACTAACATTCACATTCCAGCCCTAATAATCTTCTTCTCCAAATCTCTCCTCCGCCACCCCCTATGCCGCTCGCCGCTCTCAGACTTCACCGGCGACTCTCACTTCCAATGGATAATCCCGGATCCAGAACACCACACAGGCGCTGTAAACAACCACAAAGACATCGACCGCGTAATAATATGCTCCGGCCAAGTCTACGCCGCTCTACAAAAACACCGCACCGCACACGGCATCAAAAATACAGCCATAACGCGCATCGAGCAAATGCACCCCTTTCCCTGGCAGCAACTCAAAGAGAACCTGGACAGCTACCCGAACGCCAAGGACATCGTCTGGTGCCAGGAGGAGCCGCTGAACGCGGGTGCATGGAGCTACATGCAGCCGCGCATTGAGACGCTGCTGAACGAGACGGAGCACCATAACCGCCGCCATGTGCTGTATGCTGGCCGCCACCCGAGCGCGAGTGTGGCGACGGGTATGAAGGCTAGCCATGTTAAGGAGGAGCAGGAGTTGCTGCAAGATGCGTTTGAGGTGCATCAGGATCGGTTGAAGGGGGAGTAAGGATATGAGGTCCACATAAAAAAAAAAGAGAGAACCGGGGGTTTGGGGGGTGAAAGATTTTTTTCTTTCTGCTTTTTCACCCTTGCTTTTTTTCCCCCCTTGTTAATTACTTGTTCATTGCGATATGGATTTTTTTCGTGAAGAATATTGAATCCTTTTTTTATTGTCGTTTTCCTATTGTATATCTTTTTATTTCCCTCACTTGCCTTCATTTCCTGTTTAGCCGCATTATCTCTTGATATTTTTACTGTACCTCTTCCTTTTCCCTTTGTAAATTTCCATCGTCATCATCATCTTCCTCCCCGTTATTAAAACACCCATCCACAAAATAATCCCCAATTTTCCCCCATCTCCTATTGTTCTTATCGTAGCATATGCGTTTCCATTCCATTCCATATTTCATTCCTTTCCTTTTCTCGTCCTCCTCTTCCTATTACTTTTTTTTCTTCCCACATCTTTTTTAATCCGGGCTCCCCAAAAATATCAACATATGAAACGTCAACCAACGAAAAAAAAACTACAACAAAACCAAAAAAAAAGCTAGCTGTAAGAGTTGGTATCTCACTTTCGCCTTTGTTTTCCCATGAATTCTTTCTCTGTTTGACAGATGGGATTATTTGATTTGATATACACCGAATGAAAATGATTTCTGCTGAGAACAGCGGAAGATCGCAATTGATGTATGTTTCACTGCCGTTGTGTATTTTACTGAGGTCAAAAGGGGAGATAGAGAGACAGAGAGTGTGTGAGAGAAGGAGGGAGGGAGGGAGTAGATCAGATTAATCATGGCTAAATAGCGATATACATGGTTTTTGTGTGTATTGTACATCCTACCTACTTTTTTCGAAAGCCTGGTTTATTATTATATAGAAGTGGGAAGGAAAGAGAACAAAAAATGTAAATTAGATGATGATTTTTATACTTGATATTTGATTTCATGTCTTTTTTTTTTTTCTTTTTTTTCTTTCCCACTGGTTTACCATTTTGGGTTCTTTGATAAGTGATAAATAAGTGATAAATATGTATTTCGCTATATGTCCTGTGAGAATATCCAAGATTATAAGCTGTCTGCACGGAAAGAATTCATTACTGTGTATATCTTGTAATCTTCATGAATCTATGAATTAAGGTTTGATGCCAAGGACCCATTGAGCCCTATTCCATATACAGTCTAGCGTCAGTGACCCCTCCGACGTTCCACACTAAACCATTCTAGGCCAGACGCGGCTCCGATGGAATCTGAAATATCTCCCCGTTTTTTTGCTCCAGCTTCGGCAACCCCCTTCCTATACTCTCTCCAACGTGCCGCTTCTCCCTACCCTCTTCTCTATATATCTATCTATCCTCCTTTGTCATTGCAGAAACACTCCACCCCACTGGCAATTTCACTAACTGATTACCACCACCCCAACCAACCCATTTGCTTGCAAGTCTAGCTAGCTGTCTGTGCCCTCTCACCTCCCACCTCACCTGGGTGCAGAGGAGCAGAAACGATTTCTCCTATCGCTCCCTTTCCTTACTTTCCGTTCCCTTGATCCCACCTTATAAGATAATACACCAGTACCTCACACACAGCCCCAGTGGAATTCATGGCCACCACTCTCCCCCCCGGCGCTTCCCACGCCGCAACAACCACCACCAACAACAGCACCGCAGGCCCCGGACCCAGCACCACCTCCATCCGCCAATCCGCCCGCCAAACCCGCACAAACCCCAGCCGCACCTCCAAAACAGCCAGCCGCGCCACCTTCGCCGGTCTAGGTCTACACGGCAGCAGCGGTGTGTACGGGCTCGGTGCCGGTGCCGGTGCCGGCGCTGCTGCTGCTGCTGCTGCTGGTGTAGGGGGCCCAGGTCTCGAAGCATTCGGCGCGGCAGCAGGCGCTCACCATATCCCGCATGGCCTCTACCCGGCCATCACGCACTTCACGGACGCCATCACGGCGCTGCCGAAGGAGTTTCGGAGACATGCGTCGTTGCTGAAGGAGGTGGATGGGAAGGCGTGGGCGTTGGAAGAGGCGTTGGCGAAACAGCTGGATGCGGCGACGGCGTCGACGCCTTATGCGAAATTGATGCAGGGGGGTGTTCCGGTGAGTGTTTTTTTTTTTTTTTGGGGGGGGGGGGGCTTATGATGAACCGGTTTGAATTTGATGTGTGTATGTGTGTATGTATGTATATATATATGCTAATATGTTTTGCGCGATAGACGAAGGAACCGATCAACTACGACTCGCCTGAAGCACTTGCCCGCAGAAAGATTTTCTTTGACCTCCGCGCCACCCTCTCCGACCTCATGATTACTACCGACGAGAAGAACCATGTATTGTGGAATGCGAATAATGAGCTTGAGAAGCAAGTTAGACGCATTGACATGACCTTTCCATACGTTGAGGGCGAGATTAGTGAGGAGGCCCGTCTGGGCAGTCTCACACATTGGGCGTATTCGAACAAGACTGCGGCTAAGACAACAGGGAATACATCTGAGCGTCCCCGACGCGAGACTGCTTCTACCCGCGATCAGAACCTTGCTGCTGCTCTCGAGGGTGAAGCTAGAAGAGAGGGCGGCTCCCGAAAACATCGACGTACTCAAGCTGATGCGGATGGAGAAGACGGACGGATTCCGTCGCGGAAAGGCACGGGTGGTAAAGGTAGAAGCGGCGAAACGCCCAGTATCCCGATTGGCACGGGTGGTGCAGTCGCGAGCTCTGCTGCACCCGCCAAACGGAGGAGAGTTGAAAAACCTCAACCCACTGCTTCAGCTGCCGTTGCCGCAATGGAGAGGTCGGTTAGTGCGACGACAAATACAGGTACTGGACGGGGTGCTGCGAAGGAGCCTTCTGCTACTGATGGCGTGAAAAAGAGGGTGCGAGCACCTAATGCTAATCCTGGAGGGAGGAAAAGGTACGTCACAACATTGCCTGTTTGGAAATCCTAAGTGTGTCGAGGGTTGCAGAACCAATTCTAATCTGAATGGAAATGATGAAAATAGGGCGAACACAGCAGCATCCGCGACCGGATCACCAGCGCTTTTCCCTTCTTCCGCCGTTCCCTCCCTTAGCGCTTCTATAAAGGCTGGTAACCCCGCTCCCAATACTCTTCCGGGTCCACAATCCTCCCGATCACAACTCGGCAGCTCCCAGGTAGCCACTGGCCGTCAACGGCCCTCATCTTCTGCGTCGAATCGCGCGCCCAATTCAAGTACGTTACCCGGACTTTCAACTGGATCCATCACCCACCAGGACGTCTCTAACCCGGTTGTTCCAATCGCAGAAAAACCCCCTTCTTCGGACCTGAAGCCCTCCACATTGTCACGGGATACAGCTAGCGCTAGAATGGAGCCCGGTTTTTCTACCCCAGCCGAAGTGAACGGCGATGGGAAAGCCAACTCTTCTATCTCTGCTGCCTCTAGACCCGCGGAGCCGGTACCAAAGCGGGAGGACACAGCCTCTGCTAGCTACAATAGCGTCAGTAACGGAACCAAAACAGAACCCAACTCCGAATCGAATTCCGCGCCGCCACAGCCAAAAGGCCGCTCTTCCAAGAATTCAACGCCAGTGGGCTCTACCTTTCCTGAATCATCGCAGCAACAGCCGCAGCCACAACGGACCACAAGACCTCGCGGTGGTAACACCACAGTAGCCGATGGCGGAGGACCAGGCGGCTCCAGCACGACTGGCAACACTGTCACCGGCATCACCAAGCGATCACATAAAAAGGGCGCAGGACTGGCCGCCACGCAGCAACTTATCGCTGCTGTAGCCGCCACGGAAGACGAGGACTCGTCGCGCCAGGGGGATGATGAGGAGGAAGAAGGGGAGCCGAGGTATTGTTATTGTAACCAAGTTAGTTTTGGAGAGATGGTTGCGTGTGATAATGAGACGTGTCCGCGGGAGTGGTTCCATTTGTCGTGTGTGGGGCTGTCGAGGGCGCCGTTGAAGAGTTGTAAGTTTCATCCATCACCCCCCCCCCCCCTCCCCCTATTTCCTTTCCTTTCAGAATGGGGACTACGGAATTTTCTCGTATATCGATTTGTTTTGGAGCAGATGCTAATATCTATGTTCGTGCGTCGTGTGTGTGTTTCTAGCCAAGTGGTATTGCAATGAGTGCAAGGACAATCAGCGGAAAGGGAAATCGGGCAATGGGAAATAGCGATGTGATAATCGACGGATGTGATGTCCGCTTGTACTCCATTACAGCTCTTCTTATTCTACTTCTCCTAAAGGATGCTAGCCACCAAATTTGCATCGATTGTTCATGTCTCTCTTTTTTGCCCCCTTGCTGCAGATAGATAGATATCCCTTATTCTCCTTTACTTTTGTCCTAACCTACCTACCTCACGAATGTTACGAAACTAGGAGAGAAAGCCGAGCCGGATGGATTCCTCAAACGGATGGCAGAATTTTGGAGCTGGGGCGTTTTTTCCTTAGTAATTGACGCCTGACTCATTCTCTTTTTTTGTTATTATTATTTTCTTCTCCAGTCTTGCATTTAAATGGCTGCTGGCCTTCTCCACTTGGACTCCCTTGGGTCACAATACATTACTCTTCCATTTTTCTTGTCTTTTTCCACTTTCACTCTCTATATATTAAAACATCGTCACAAACATCTTTCTTTTCTTTTCCTTTTGGTTGTATCTTGATTTGGACAAATAAGAACCAATGCCGCTGGTCGGTTTAAGAACACATTAACACTTTTTTCAAACTAGGTCTACAGATGTGATGTGTACAATGATTGTCATATACAATTTGACCTAACTACTCCACACGTCGATTTAAAAACAAAAGACGGCCATGTGATAACTCCCTATCTAATTGCAATACTAAATTGGATTGATGCAAAATCGTAAACAAATACACATATATGCATGAATGCTAAAATTCAGAGAAGATAGAAGCAGATAATATAAGAAAGGCGAAAATGGGCACAGTCCCCAATCTATCCCTATACCACTCACTACACGTCACAAGGTCTCACAGGCCCAAGACATGCAAAATCAAAGTATCCAAATCCAACAATTAGAGACACAACGATGCTCCACCGTATACAGCGAACCCCCCCTTTAAAAACTCCCCGTAAACTGATCCAATATCTGCCCTGCCAACGGCCTCCTCTGCTGCCCCTGACCCTGGCCCGCCTCCCCACCCTCACCGCCACCACCATCACCAACCGCATTTACCCCGCCCCTATCACCAACACCACCCCTCACCCCTCCCGCCGCAGCCGCAGCCGCAGCCGCAGCTGCAGCCCTCGACTCCCCCTCCAACCGCCTCCGCAAGCCCTCAAACCTCTCCCCATCCCCGCCCGTACCGCCCGTCACCCTCCGCAAGCCAGCCCACGACCTCCACCCACCCACCCTCCCCAGAGCTGACGCCATGCATGCCATCACCACCAGCACCAGCACCAGCACCAGCATCACTCCCCGCTGCTCCCCCCTCAACCCCGCGACCATGTCCCCGCGCACCCGCAGCAGCATCAGCAGCCATATCCCCATAAACCCACCCCGGGACCCTCCACGCGGTCGCGCGGCCGGGTAATACCTCCGAGCGCCAGGCGTAGCCGACCGCCCAGCCTATGGCGGCGGGGATGAGGGAGTGGGGGAATTGGGCGAGGGCGAGTTGGGCGGCGAGGAGGTAGGTGGTGGATTTATCGCTGACTTTTAGGGATGGGGGGGTTGGTGATGAGGTGGAGGTGGAGGGAGATTGGGAGATGGGTGGGGAGGAGGAGGAGGTGGTGGTGGCGATGCGGTATTTGTATGCGTGGGGGATTGCGGAGTAGAATTGGACGAGGAGGGCGAAGAGGATGGCTGTGGGGCCTGCGGGGAGGTAGTTTAGGGTGTTTAGGGAGAGGGGGCGGAGGAGGAGGGAGAGCAGGAGGGGTGGTAGGAGGGTTGTGTAGGGTAAGGTTGTTATTAGGAAGCTCTGTGAGGGTTGTGGAGGGTTGGTGTTAGTATTTTATGTTTGTAAGATGTGGGTTTTTGGTTCTAATGAGGGAGGGAGGTAAGAGTAAGGGGGCTTTCGGAAGAATAAGAGGAAGCGGAGGGAAGAAGGGACATACGCCAAATTTCCTAGATCCCCATAGCCGTTCGATTACTCTGAGCTGATAAACGAGCAGTGCTGCAAAGAGTGCTTCACCCGAATTCGTGTAGGCTAGCTGTATTGGAGACCGTACACTCGTTAGTTTTGTCCGATTAAACCAGTCTATTAAACCGCAGTCCGACAGCACTATGCTGTGATGTCAACACCAGAGAGCCTGGGGCTGGGAAAGGAGGAAGAGTAAAGAACCTACCTGCCAAACTCCGAGCCTCCATACCTGCCAATATTGCCATAGATGTGGCACGACTTGTATATATAGCAAGTATTTGACGTCCGCTATGCTGGCAGTAATCGACGAAGCAATTATGAAGACCATGACATATTTCGAAATCGGCGCATTGGTGAAGCCGGAGCTGATCATTTTCGCAATTGTATGAAAACTAAAAGGAATGTCGGGTGTGCGGAATAGGTGGGCGACAGGTATGGGTGTGGGAGGCTTCTATTAATTACTTCTAATAGCTTCAAGGAAGCTGGATATGGCGTTTTCCTTTCGTTTCCGTGGCGATATATTCCCTCTTGATGGGAGAATGATCTGTAGTAGATGGCGGGGTCAAGGCTCGATGTTGTGTATGTTCGTCAAACGCGGCTCAAATCCACACTCTCTTTATCTCTTTTTCCCACTCCTATGACTCGTATCCGGGAGTTTCCAAATGCCCCCTCCGCAATGACTGTGCCGACTTCGTATCCCACTGTGAACAGTTGCAGGAGGACGGTGATTTGGCGTCGTCCTTCGTTTCGGTTCGATGGAATTTGTTTCTGCACAAGCTTAATACATGTCCCGCACGGTTCTCCGCGTCAGGTGCATAAACTATTTCTCGTACGCGGCCAGCCAAAGAAGCAAAGAGTGTCCTTAAGAGGTGCGTTGGGTGAATTGGAGCTTTCTGAGCATCTGAGCACGGTGAGACGTCCGATTGGACACATGTCCAATTTGGGCTACGGCTTCCCGAATCCTGGGAGTCGGCATGCCGAGAGCTGTTATCCCCAAAATATGGAACATCCAGACCAGGCAACTACTATAACTATTGGGATCAAATTTCTTCTTTTCTTGATTTGGTTTTATGGTTTTGTGGTTTTAGAGATTTTTTTCTATTTTCTTTCCGGGTTGTGCTTTAGTCTATCACCACTACGAATTCCCGGGATTGTCAATCCAATTCTCTTCGTCCTCTCAATACCCATTGGACTGTCTGTCATTCCTAGTAATTGTAATCAACGACGAGAAATCAAACTACGACCATATAATCAACACAAACATGAGTCACCAAAAGTGGAGGAAAACCGCTATGCAAAGCTAGGCTAAAATCACAACAGAACAGAAAGTTTTTCAGAGAGAATCCAAAGGAAGGTCGGTCGCTCTCTATCTCGCCAAAAGATTTGCCAAAATACTATATATAGGTATTTCTAGTTCAAGATATTCCACAATACTATATAGTAGGGCGTAAGCAAGATTTCAAACCTCATTATCCATCTGCTCATAAAACTGCCTCGCAATGGCCTCGATGCGTTGACTCATATTTATCTTGGTGGGACTCGCGATGGCAGTTTCCGGCTTCGAGTTACAATTACTGTTCTGATTACTCCCCCTCTGTCCAGTCCGGCCTCGATTCTTGTTATGTTCCTGCTGCGCGGGCCCTGAAGGATTTCGATTTTGCTGTTGTCGTTCCCGAATCGCCTTTTGGCGGAAGAATTCGTTCGTTTGCTGATTCTGGCGACGCCAGCGCTCAGAGCCTAGTTCCGGATTTTTTATGTAGCAGGCAGACTGTGTATGACCTGGTCGAGTGCAGAATTCGCACTTAACACTCGGGTCCGGGCGGGTCTGGGTTTGGGTTTGGGATTGGCCGCGTTCTTCCTTCCCACGGCTGCTGTCCCGGCATTTGATCGTCTCGCTGCTACTTGTATTACTTGAGTTTGACGATTGATGCCGATTGTTCTCCTTTTTCTTCTTCGAGGTTGACCTGGTTGTTCCGCTACGAGTACTAACGTCACCATCGTTGCTGACCTTGCTCGCTACGACGGACACGATTCCATCCCTCATGTCGTTAGAAAGGGTTAAGGGCGACTGGTTGGGTGACAAATCAGTATTGCTATCACTGGCCGAAATAGTGCTGATAATAGTGTTTCCTTCTGAGGGTAAACAGGCTACCAGCTCATCAATCAAGATATCGATATCCAGTGTCTGCGGGATGGATTTGGGCGTCTCCTCCTGTTTCAACTTAAAGTTGGCATGGATGATATCTTGTGAAGCGCTTGAAACACCCTCATACAAGATATCGTACAACAGCCAATCAGGAACTGGAAATCCAAGCTTCTCCAGTTTCCTCCTCGCTTCCTGGAACTGCTTGATATATTCCCTATCACTCGTTTTCTGGGACGGGTATAGGTTTTGGAAAATGGAGCGGCGCTCCTCTTCAAGAGGTCGACGGAATGTGGATTCCAGCTGATTCCAGAGAAGGTATGCGGAGCGCCTTGTTGGCTGAGTGACTGCTTCCATTGCCTGTGAATCTATTGAGTCCCATATCAGATTATATAGCCAGTCATTCTGCTGGCCCCATAGGTACGTGTTTTCATCCGTGAAGGGAGAGAACTTTTGCCCATTATCGATGATGTAGCTGCACCCTGTGGACTCAGCAATGGAAAGGATCGACTCCCGCCAGTTGGCGTAATTGTCTTTACAATACAGGCGGTGCGGATATGGAGTATCCTTCGTAAGACGGAGAAATGCGATTATCTTTTTGCCGACTACGGCCTCCGCATCGGGTTTCTCGGTTTCCTCGATGCTGCCGTTGACATCCTGATTCTCTTTCCCGGTCCAAGGAGGTGACTCTTCACCTCCTTCACCAACCGTATTCGTATTCTCGTTCCCATTTCTCTTCCTATTCGACTCTCTGATCGCATTCAACTCCTCCTTCAGCTGTCCAATCTCCAAACAAAGGCCCAGGGCCAGTCCATGTGCCGTCTGGAGAATATGCGTTTCCTTTTGCATCTGAGATACCCCATGTTCGGCTAGTTGAAAGTCGGGCAACGGCGTGAATCTATCAACATATGCTGTCAAAGCGTCAGGCTTTAACGTCACGCTCTCCTCACCGCCCTCGACGTACTCGCCAGGGACAAAATCGCCATCGCCAGAGTCAACAAAGCGCGTATCCATATTGGCCGGTTGAAGAATAGTAACTCGGTTTGGCGAAAAGTCGGCTGCGGCTGCGTTCAAAACGGGGGCGCGTTCAGACGTGTTTTTAGATGAACTTCTGCTGGGCATCACGGCTTTCTTTTCCCCCTCTTTTATTTTTATTTTTATTTTTTTTTGTCCCTCACTGTGTGGGCTTCGAGGCCGGGGGGTAGGTAGGTAATAATAATAGATAGATAGACTTTAGGGAGGATTAACTGAACCTGGATTCTTTTTCTCTTTCTTTTTTCTTTTTTCTTTTTCTTTTTCTTTTTTTCCCTTTTTTTCTTTTTGTTTCCGTTGTTTTAGGGAGGCCCAAGTCCCAAGCTAGTAGTGCTAGGAAGCAAAATAAACGTTACAAAGGGAGCAGACGAGGCAAGCTTCTGTCCCCTTTCCCTTACGCATTTTCTTCCCTTTCATGCATGGAAACGAAACGGGTGGAAATCTATGCTGCTTTTGCAGCTTTCCTTTCCCCAATTCGTTCACGTAAGACAAACGAATAGAAGCGAGACTTCGCTGAGGCTTTTATTTTACCGTTAGCTGGCTGACATGCTATTGTGTGTGTAATCTATCTACGCGAGCTACACTAACCATACCAGAAGAACGTAGGGTTATTAAGTTACACGACCGGATTATGGTTGTTCCACCATTTCAATCAACACAGTCACTGCTGTTATTATTATTATTATTACAAGCATCAAACGCTCGCTTACGCTCGCTTTGCTGCTTGCGCAGCCCCCTCCCCCCAACCACCTCCTAGCATTATTTACCACCCCTTGCAGCTTTTATCTCGGTCTACACGAACAAGGCAATTACCGAAGGGGCAGGGACTGCGACATATACCGGACTTCAATAAGTTACTTGCTGTTATTTAGTGTATAAGCTCGTTAGAGAAAGAGTGTCATCAAGTAGGATAAAAAATGAGATGACGTCTCTGTTTTAGTAGCATAGTATTTATAGATTATCTAACAGAGATTGACTGCA